ATTCGGCTAACGATAATTTCGTCTAAGATGAGCTCTCAGGAACGATTTAATATCGTTAGCTGGATGGCCCACTCCTCTGTTATTTGCAGATGACACAACATGCGGTCCTTCTCTGCCCAAACCCAGTATTACTGGCCAACACTATTAATGCCGTAATTGCAGAAAATAATCTACCTTGGATGATGACTAATATCAGCTTACCTTTCAATACTGACAAAACGCATTTCATTTAGTTGGAAACAGAGCTGCAAAATCGCTCCCGCACCATTAATATAATTGCTAAATGGATCACCCATCCACAAGACTCACAGAGGAAAAATTCCTAGGGAATCCACCTTGACAGAAGCCTAAATTCCAGATCTCATATACAACAAGTTTCCAAGAAAAATCTCCTAAGACTGTAGGCATCTATGTTCCACAATCAGCTCTCCTTGCACTGTATCATCACTCGTCTACCCTCTATCTCACCTATGAATTTATGCACGGGGATCAACAAATTAGTCAACTAGGACCACTAATAACCCAGCCAAATGGCTTTCAGTCAGAATGATAAAATTCCCCTCCGACAGCATTACTCCACCCATATTCAAAGTCTAAAAATTTACTCACATAAAGAAAATCCATACTTATTCTTGTGCCTACTACATGCATAGGAACTTAACTCAAACGATAAACTCTTCACTCAAACTTCTCCTCACCAACCTTAACCCTTTCAGGGTCCAGGGCCCAATATTCAAAGGGCACACCAGTGTCTCCAAGAATTTTCAAAAAATAATTTGTTATTTTTTCTTACTGAAATGGTAGAGAAATTTTTTCTGAAGGAAATAAAACAAAAAGTACAAATTTGATGGAAAATTGTCGAAATTATGTTCTTGGTGAATTTTTATGTGTCCGCGGATTTTGTTTACCGACTTTGACTCCATTTTAGGCCCAATACATTATTCAGTCGACCAAAATTATTAGTATTTCACTAGTATTACTTCTATTATATTGATTGAGCACAGAATTTGCCAATTCCAACTGTTTCAACTACAAAAGAAAAGTGATCGGAAATTGGTAATTTGGCCAATTTAATTGCAAAGTTCAAAATATCCAATTTCAAATAGGTCCAGAATAAAAATTGCAGGCATTCCTGGCACTAAACTAAACATTCTCTGTTCATAGTTAAGTTTTTTCAGGCTCTACTAATAACCTACCCAATAGCTTTTTTTTTTTATTCTCATAATGAATTTTTATTCGAACCAAAATATTAGGAGATTTACTGTTAGCAATATTGTAAAATAAGATTGTATAAATAATATCAGCTACATTTGTGACACGCCATATTAGACACACCAGCAGAGGCATGTATTAGCGTGTGAGGTCATTGTTTACTCCTGAACCATCGGCAAAAATTTATCATTTTTCCGCTAACTTTTGAGCTCAGTTTTCAAGCCATTTCCCAGTACTAAAACCAAATAGAAAAATCATCTTTATTTCTGGTAATATGTCTTCCATTTATCAAAGGAGACCAAGAAATCGCAAATACACCTATAAAAAATGTACAAAAAAACACTGCAAATGTTGACGTTTAATCAGAAAATTTCCGATCTGTTAGTTTTTTTTTCTCCTCATTATGCACTATGTGCTGATAGATGTTGTTATGTGGTGCACACATAGCACATAGATGTATGTATTCATATCAAGGCCAAAAAATTTACCGCTCACAGCTTATCAGAGGAAAGCCGAGCTCATGACGTAGATCTACGGTTTGTGACCCCTCAACGTAAAGTCGTAGATTACGCACGGACCCTCTAAGGGGTTAATAGATGCACGACCATAACACAAGACAAGATCACTTTTTTGATGTTATTCCATGTTCCACACCCACACTATGTAAGAAACTCTATGTAACCCAGTAAGGAGCAGGGGTCTGTGGTGGGGACAATAACGGGAACACTGTATCAACATCCGGGTGGTCCCAGGACTTTTCATAACATCTTACCAGAAGATATCAGAAAAACACTGCTGTTGAAAAACAGATTGAAACCTTCAGAGGAACTAGGGACACAGTATTTCACCAGGTGCTCCAGGATCAACAGACTGTGATGGATATGTGGGGCAGCGGGGCTCCCAGCAGCAACGCCTGGTTGACCAGGCGAGCACCATGAACGACCTGGCCCATGGCGGGCTCAGAGAGTAGACATAGAACATAGGAAACACTGCCAGAAAGGCACTACTGGCCTATAGCGATCGGCAGGGCCTTATCAAAAGGACCTCTACCTAATGTGACATGTATTGTGTAGCAACGTTTCGCTCTCCAGGAGCTTTATCAAGCCATTACGTAAGGGCTTGAATTTAAAGCTCTGGGGAAGAGCGAAACGTTGCCACAAAAAATGTACATTAGTTGCACTTGTGTCCTTTTACTTTACATATTGTCGGTAATTCTACCCAACTTCATTACGACAACCTCTACCTAAAGCTACCCAGATAATAACTCCCGTAACTCCATGACACCAATCAAACCTAGCCCCTCCCACTCATATATTTGTCCAGTCTCTTTTTAAAGGCTACCCAAAGGAGTTAGCCTCTATCACCCCACTGGGAAGACTGTTCCATGCCATCTACAACTCTGTTAGAAAACCAGTATCTGAGGGGAAGTAGAGCTTGATATACAGTAATGTGGAAAAGATTGGGAGTCATGGTAAGCAGAAATCTAAGCAAGACTGCAGTGCGAAGTTTAATGGTGCGCAACAAGGGCAACAGATTACTTGGACTTTATCCAAGAGTATAAGTAACAGAAGTCCAAAAGTTATTTACAGCTCTATACATCCACTAGTGAGGCCTCATTTAGATTATGCTGCTAGTTTTGGAGTCTCTTACTACAGGATGGACATCGACTATTAGAGAACATACGAGTGAAGAATGACTAAAATGATTTAATGTGTAAGGAACCCTCCCGAATTCTTCAAAGGTATAAGGTAAGGGTAAAAGGTACATACAGGGCCTCAAAATTTGGAACTCATTACCAGTATATACTAAAGGTAAACCCAATCTTGAGCATCAATTTAAGGACTCTTTCAAAAAACCATTTCTCAACCCTAAAGCTAAGAGATATTAAATACCTCAATTACTTGTATACATATCTTTATACATATTTGCTGTCTAAAACTGTTGTATCTGGATGCACCTCTGCCAATAGAACAGTGATAAGTTGTGGAGTGTGGGTGAAATGTTGAATGATGATTGAAAGTATTTTCTTTTTGGGGATTTTCTTTTCTTTTTTTGGGGTCACACTGCCTCGACGGGTAGGGGAGGACGGATGTCGACATCACCGCCCATCTCTTGTTGAAAAAAAGAAAAAAAAAAAAAATACTTAAATGAAGATCTCATAATTATCTTATATCTTAGAAGCCACTTATACAATTTAAAATATGTGTCGCGAAGTAGGAGAAATTGCCATTGTATAAAACTTCGTTCCCAAACTGTTACTTTGCTCAATCTGTGTTACTTTCTAATTTTCCATAAAACTTTTTGCATTTTTGGTAGACATTACTTCAGAATTTTTTTTTTTTTTTTTATTTCAGAAGAATTTTTTCGGTCTAAAAACTGCAGGACATTATGAGCACTTTCAATTCAAGTACTTTGACAGTGAAGGGGAGGTTAAGAAGGTTGTGCCATCAGCAGAGTACAAATTTTGTATGATGCTCTGTTATGGGACATTAGGGTTTATGTCACGGATATAGATGAAGAGGGCCAGAATGCTACCTTGGGGGACCGACACCTAGGTTTATGGATATAGGTTACTGTACAAGGTGTCAGTTTCTGGTTCCATGTCATTATCAGTTATTGAGGGTGTTGGATTGATGAAGAGGTGTGTAGCTGTGTCCCTTTGAGTCCTAGTGAGATAGAAGTTGGTTAGGAGTGTGCTGTGTGCGTCGCATATGGTGATATCAAAAGTCTTTCAAAGAGTAATGGCAGTCTGGTAGGGATACTTATGTCTCCCAATTACTGATAAACTTGTTTACCATACTTATTATTGCATCAATAGTGCTTTTTTTTTTTCTTTTTTTTGGTCAGAGCAAACTGGCACGAGTTCAGGTATACTGTGTTTGGTTAGGCGTGCTATCTACAGTTGCTTGTGGATTAATTTTTGCAAAATGATTTTAAGTAATATAAGTTGTTAGCCTGGATATTGATCTGTAGTTATTAACATCAAGCTCGAAATCACCAACTTTGTGGTTATCCTGGGCTTTCTTGTGGGCACCTGGGAAGTTTAATTAATATTTGCATCTACAAAGCCTAAACCTAAAAGGATACCATCCTATTTATAAAATGCTTCAGGCATTAAATTACTGAACAGCCTCACGAAAGGGCATACCAAGTTATTTCACGAAAAAATATGCCATTTTAAAAAAAAAAAAGTCAAGTGGGCAACTTGTGCACTCAATAACAATGCCAACCCTCCTTCTACATAGGACAGATGTTTGTTGAAAGTTTGAAAACCATCAAAATTGGCATTCTCAAGTTAACTGCCACTCAAACTTAAATCAAGAAAATGTCTACTGTAAAACTGACCAGTGGGCCACTGGCACATGAAAATACTGTACAGTAAACCTTCGTGTTTAAACTGAAAAATAAGGGAAAGCAGATGGCCAGTTATTGTGAATTATGGTGGATTAGCAAAGAGATTGTGGTGCTATGGTTGTGGAATAATATATGGACCAAATCTGTAACTAACAAACTTTGTCCATCTGTTTTTCACATCAAATCGACCCAAGGGGTTTTGTCCTGCAATTCTCAATAAATTGAGGTCCGTTAATCAAGGTTTACTGTAGCTGCACGAAGCCCTTCCCTAGTGTACTGCACCCAGCATTGAAAATTTGGACCAGATAAGATGAGGCATATTTTCATGTTATAAAAACAATGAGAAAGAAAAACATCTTGCAACGACAGTCTTAGAAGCTACCCCTCTGGGTACCTAATTTACTACAAAACAGAAGGTCTTGTATAACATTGACTTATAAGTAGGGTTTGGCATGTAAACACACGGATATCTATTCTTCTACTCAATCAAGCCTTGGCGAATTATTTTCTCTCCTCTTGTTCTTTAATATTGCTCTTTGACATTTCTTTTTTAGCTTCTTTTGTCAAGTTCACCAGCAATCCTTACCTGCTTTGCTTAACTCACTGACCTGTAGATCGATTATTTGGAACAACTGCAAAATACTTGATGGCTTCTTGATATCTGAAGGTACAGTAATTTAAATTAGCTCGTATAAACTTTTCATACATGAAGCGTATGCACGTTCAAGAATTTACTGTAAAAAATTTATTAAAAAAGAAGAAAAAGCAAATTTTCTTTATAAATTAGTTTAGTGTACTGTGTTTGCTGAACATAATCCATGCTTCAGAGAGTATACTGTACATTGGTTTTATAATGTAAATTTAAATGACCAATGAAAGTAAGCAACTGTCACTATGCCACAATGTGGTTTTAGTTAGACAGTGTTAGCCAGGTCTAGTGTCAGTTAGTAAGGTCAATGGTGTATTGTAAGACTACATAGGTAGACTGCAAAGTGGAAATCTTTTCATGTCCACACACACTTGTCCCACATCTAGAAATATTAAGGGTAAGGGGCTATACAAAAATGTTTGCTGATATCGCTACCGATACCTTATTTCTGTTTGATACTGAGTAACCGATACTTCTATTATTTTTTATATTTCGAACTATGATATACATCAGGGAAATAAGCCAGCTGAGTATTACTAGGTTAAAGGGTATGGTATTAGAGTTTATTTACTTGAAAGAATTAAGGGTAAGACAGAGTACGATTGCAGATTAAACAAGGAGGCTTTAGAAGGGTACAGGATGTGTAGACAAGTGTTTACAGGTGCTTCTTGATTACCGGTTCGCTTGGGTTACATTCTGACAAAACCCATCGTAAAGAGTTAAATATAATTTGTGTTTTTTTTCAACAAGTCAGCATGTCTCCCACCGAGGCAGGGTGGGACCAAAAGAAAGAAAATCCACCAAAAAGAAAATAACTTTCATCATCATTTACAACACTTTCACCTTCGACTCACACACAATCACTGTTTTTGCAGACGGTGCTCAGAACACAACACAGTTTAGAGCATTATACGTAATTAAGAGATATAAAAACATATCCTCCAAACTGCTAATATCCCGAACCCCTCTTTAGAGTGCAGGCTTTGTACTTCCCTTTCCAGGACTCAAGTCCGGCTTATAAAATTAACCTGTTTCCCTGAATCCCTTCACTAAATATTACCCTGCTCACACACTAACAGATCATCAGGTCCCAAATAATTACTGTAACTAACTAAATACAGTAGTGTAAGTAGCAATATAAATGCATAAAGTTATGGAACCTGCTGACTTCATGCTGGAGTATTATCTCAAGTTTCACCCCAAAATACTGTTGTTTTGACCATCGTAAAGATGAAATATCCCAAGTCGAACCATGGCCTCCTCAGCTGAGGAAAGCACCTGTACACTGAAGAATATGAATTAACAATATTCAGATTAGATGTGAAGTTTATTATTGCATTTACATGTACTGATTTAGAAAAGGATATGGACGGGTGGATAGGAGAGGAATGTGGCAGATGTTTTTAAGGGTATGGAATAGGTGGTAGGTTACTGAAAGCAGTTCTGAGTATTTATGAGGATAGTTGCACTCAGGTTAGGGGGAGATTATTTTCAGTAAAAGAAAGCCTTAAGACAGGGATGTGTAATGTCACCATGTCGTTTAACATAATTTCAGAAATAAATAGTACCAGGAAATGTTTTGGTATTGGCACTGACCAAAAATTGGGGATCTGTTATTGGCAAAAATTCCTGGTATTGTCCCATCCTAACATGTATGTTTATACCAATCAACAGAGTTCTTCTGAATTTTTTAATAGTTCTTGCTGTGCTTCTTTCCACGCAATTCCACGTTCCATGGGTAGTGGAAATGAGTTAGAGTTAGAATCTCCGCATCCAAAAGCAATGAGTGTTCTCAGAGAAAGCAACCAATCAGCGCCATGGGTGCCCCGTGGCCTGATCGCTAAAAGCTCTTGCTTCACGTGGTGGAGGGTCTGGCATTTGATTCTCAGCACGAGTTAGAAACAGTTGGGCATGGTTTCTTTACATCAGTGGTTCTATGTTTCATCCATCAGTAAAATGGGTACTGGGAGTTAGTCGACTGGTGTGAGGTCGCATCCTGGGACCAAGAGAAACCTAATTTGCCCGAAATGTCTGCATAAACAAGGGGCTTTCTATATACAGTGAGTACCCTGAGTTTATGTACAGTCTCCCAATATCGAACCAATTATGTAAGTGTATTTTATGGTGGTCTGAAATGGGACTAATCTAATTTACATTATTCCTTATGGAACAAATTCATTCGACAACTGCACTTGAACAGCCTTCTGGATACGAATTATGGCCAAAACTTTGGGTAGGTGCAACTGATGGCATTGATGTCTCAGCTAGGCCTGCTATGCCATGTACAAGTACTTGTAGTAAATATATTATTTATTTATTTATTAATGCAAGGTTCTGGTAACCCTTCCTGTATCAATTTCAAAGAGTAAAAAAAGGAAATTTTTTAAAGTTGGGTTTTCAAATGTGCAGGGGAGTACTGCTGATAAGAAAGAATTGATAATGTTTTGAAATAGAGTTGGATATCTTAGCACTATGTAAACAAAGAGGAAAAGGAGAAGTAGAGAATTTCAATGGATGTGAGGTAAAATTGAGGTTTTTAAAAGGTTTACAACTGAGAGATCTACAGCTTCAAAGGAGGCATATTTATATTAAATTGATCATGTATGAGAAAGAAATGAAATGGTACAGGTATTTAACTTTTTCAGAGTCTTACAGTAGATCAACGTTTACGCTTGAGGGTTCAAACTGTAGATCTAGCTCACTCTGATAAACTCGTGAGCGGTAAATTTGGGACTAGATATGAGAGAATGCATCTATGTGGTTATGTGGCACCCACATAAAACACAATCCTGCAGCACACAGTGCTTAATGAGCGAAAAAAAAAAACGAGACCGTAATTCGATTAAAACAGCAACTTTACAGTGTTTTTTTCGTATGTTTGTTTATAGTTTATTGCAATTTCTTGGTCTCATTTTTGGTGGATAGATTGGGAAGATATCATTACAGAAATAGAGATTGATTTTGATTGGGTTTAGGTACTGAAATGCTTGAAAACTGAACTCAAAATATCGAAGATGTTAAATTTTTGCCAATGTTCAAAGTATAATAAATGACCTCACACATCTAATATACACTCCAGCATGGTGGGTCTAGTTAAGCAATTCACAAATTGTGCTGATTAATTTTTATACAATTTTTACAATTTGCATGACAGTAAAATCTTCTATTTTTTTGGTTTGAATAAAACTTCATTGTTAATTAAAAAAACAAATGTGATGGAATTCATTAGTTAAAGCCTTGTAAACACTAATGAACAGAGGAATGTTAGTTTTAGTTGCCAGGAATGCCTGCATTGCTTATTATGAACCCCATTATGATATTGGAATATTTTTTAACATTGCACTAAATTGGCCATATTACCAATTTCCAATCACTTTATTTTGTAGTTGAAACAGAGTGAGTTAGAGATTTCTTGTGCTCCAATCGATGTAGACAGAAGTAATACAGTGGACCCATCGCCTAACGAAACGCATCGCATAACGTTAAATCGCCCTAGCGGTACATTTTAACGCCAAAAATTTTGACTCGGCTAGTGCTAAAAAACTCGCTCGACACGATTCGTTCAAGACATCGTTTCCCCACGTGCAGCCTGAGCCCACCTCACTTGTGGTTTCCGTGGGTGCCAGTGTTTACAAGCCAGCCATTGCGGGTCGCTTCCCAAGCTTTACAATCGGAACATTTCAAATTATCACAGCCTTTTAGGTGATTTGCACCTGCAATAGTAAGTCACCATGGGCCCCAAGAAAGACTTTTCAAGTGCCAACCCTACAGTCTAAAAGGGTGAGAATTACTATGGATATGGAAGAAAGAGATCATTGCTAAGTATGAAAGTGGAGTGGTTTGTCTCGAGCTGGCCAGGTTGCACACAAAACCACCCCCAAATCAAACCATCGCTACTATTGTGGCCTCAAGAAAAAACGGTAATCAAGGAAAGCTTGTTCTTTGCAAAGGGCAATCTTTTGTTTTCAAAACAGAGATCGCAAGTGATAGAGATGTTGAGAGACTGTTAATTTGGGTGTGGATAACGAAAAAAAAAACAGATAGCAGGAGGTAGATCTCTCAGGCGATCATATGTGAAAGCGCTAGAAAGTTGCATGGACGATTTACAGTTGGACCCTTGGCATAGCGATATTAGATCCGTGCATGAGAGCTCATTGTTATGCGAAAGATTATTGTTAAGCGATAGTGAATTTTCCATAGTGCTATAAGAAATAATGGGAAATCAAAGTAATCCGTGGACCAAGACACCCCAAAGTAATGAAAAAAAAACATTTTTACCCAATGAAATATTAATTTTAATACCACACAGAACTGAAAAAGGCTGGACATGCACAATTGACATGGACACTTTCTTTGTATTGAAGTGAATCTGGGTGATGATTGATGGGATAGGGAGGGAGGAGAGATAGAGGAGTCTTAGTAGTTAGAAGGGGAATCCCCTTCCATTAAGACTATGAGGTGTCAAAGTCCTTTTCTGGGGTTACTTCCCTTCTTCTTTTAATGTTCACTAGGACAGCTTCAGAGTCTTGGGGACTTCTGTCGCACAAAATATTCTGTCCTAGTGGCCTGTAAATTCGTTCCTTGTATGACTTCCATAAAGGTGTTTTCACAACATTGTCAGTGTGTAATAGTCGCTACCAGCTACGGCTTGCAATAGCTGTGGGAGGGTGATTTTCATCATAAAGGTTTTGCACTTTCAGCCTACATTGGCAAGATTTCCATAATCTTTGTAGTACGGCAATTTCTTCAATTTCTCATCCCTCCTTCGAAACCAGTTCCTCAGGTATGGCCTCTTGCCTCTGCCCCGTTAAAGTTGATTGTCTAGCAGCTCATCAGTGGTTAGGTCTTCATTTGTCCTCCTCCCCACTCTTCCACATCATCCCACTAACCTCCAACCCAAAGGGACTTTCCCAATGCCATATTGATTCCTTCAACTGGCATCTCCTCTAGGGTTAGCCTCAAACCCTTCAAAATCCCTTTTGTCTAACATTCTGCCACAGTTTCTTCCAGCAGAGTTCAAGGTCTCTTAGTCACTCCCTCCCAGCCTTGCCTATAGGTTTACACAATTGAGATAGTTAAAAGTGATTCTTCCAAAACTCTCTTAGAGTCAAGTTGAATTTCTGAGGTCACTCAAAGCACCTTTCAAACATAGCTTTTGTGTACAGTTTTTTGAGTTTGCAATAACCGCTTGGTCCATGGGCTGCAGGAGAGGAGTGGTTTTGGAGGCAAAAAAACTTCACCTTAATGAATTCATGTCCCTATAAGTCGCTCTGCCACGTCCTGTAGGATGGACCAGGGGCATTGTTACACACCAGGAGGCACTTATAAAGTTCTAATTTCTTTTCAGTTAGGGTAATCTTTCACATTGGGGGCATATGCATGGTGTAACCAGTCATAGAAGAAGTCCTAGTGACCAATGCCTTACTGTTTTCCCTCCACCAGCACACACAAGATTAGCCTTGAGGATATTCTTTTGCTTAAACGCTCTGGGAGTTCTGAGTGATACACTAAATAAAGGCTTCACTTGCAATCACCACTAGCATTGGATCACATCAACAGAGTAAGCCTGTATTTCATTAGGCTTATGTCTCCTGGGGAAACTCATTTCTTTTTTTCTTTGTGGCGTTCCCTGTTTTCTCTGAATTTTTTTTGCTTTTGTTGCTTTTCTTATTTGTGTCTTGTGGTTTTGCGTTTTTTTGTGCCTTTTCCTCCGTTGAAGTAATTGTAGTCCTGCTTGGCATTTTCTTCCAAAGGCAGGCCAGTTTTCATCATCCAATTGAACAACTTGTTCAGGTTTCAGTCCTTCACTGTCTTATGTACTCCATGAATTCCTGCACATATTTTTCAGCTGCTTTGTGGTCCGAACTGGCAGCCTCACCATGCCTTATCACACTATGTATGCCACTACGCTTCTTAAATCTCTCCAAAACCAACTTTGCTGGCCTTAAATTCACTCACATCATCACTAGTTGCAGGCATTTTTTTAATTAAATCGTCTTGCAACTTCCTAGCCTTTTCACTTATGATCACTTGAGAGATGCTATTCCTGGCTAGCTGTTTGTTCTTTATCCACACAATAAGAGTCTGCTCATCTCTTCACATCACTTTGCGATCTCTGTTTCAAAAACACAGTTAAACTTTGGGCAAAGAACAGCTTCCTTGATTGCCCTTTTTGTTGCCCACATTGTAGCGATGGTTGATTGGGGTTTACTATTCTAACCTGGCCAGCTCGGAGACACGCACTCCACTTTCATACTTATCACACAATGACTCTTTCTTGTCATCTCTTAGTTATTCTACCCTTATTCCTGTTGGGTGGCACTAGAAGCTTTTTGGGGCCCATGGTCACTTAGTTTTGCAGATAAAAATCAACCAAAAACACTGTAATAATAACGAAATGTTCCGATTGTATGCTTGGATGTTACCACGGAGGCTGGCTGGAAACAATGCCACCGGCGGAAATGTGAGGCTGGCTAAGGGGGCGCACCACATTGGACGCCGTCTCGGTATTGAACAGCGTTGTTGCAGCGCGGTTTTTTTAGCGGTTTAAATATGCGACAGGCAAAATCTTAGCGATAAATGTTAGCGGTATGCAGTTTAAACGTTATGTAGCCAACGTATGCGGGGGTGGGTCCTCATCTGTAATTAGAAAAATGCCTGCAACTAGTGGTGATGTGAATGAATTTTAAGGCCAGCAAAGGTTGGTTTGAGTGATTTAAGAATCGTTGTGGCCGCTTACATAGTGCTAAGCATGGTGAGGGCTGCCAAGTTCGGACCACAAAGAACGGCTGAAAAATATGTGCAGGAATTCAAGGAGTAGCTAGCAGTGAAGGACTGAAACCTGAACAGTGTTTTAATGACAAAACAGGCCTGTTTTGGAAGAAAATGCCAATAGCAGGACCGACATTACTCGGAGAGGAAAGGCACTCCGGACCTAAGCCTATGAAAGACAGGTTACTCTTCTCATGTGTGCCAATGTAGTGGTTGATTGCAAAGAGAAGACTTATTGGTGTTATCACTTGAAACTCCCAGAGTGTTCAGGAGAAAAAATACAATGTCCACAAGGCTAATTTTGTGTGTGCTGTGGAGGGCAAACAGTATGGCATGGGGTCACTAGGGATTTTTTTCTATGGATGGTTACACCATGCATTTGCCCCCATTGTGAAAAAATGCCTAATTGAAAGGAAATTAGACCTTAAGTGCTCCTGGTATTAGACAGTGCTCCTGTTCATCCTTCAGACGTTGGCAGAGGACCTTTTCTTCGGAAAAGAGCTTCATTAAGGTCAAAGTTTTTGCCTCCTAATACCACTCCTCTCCTGCAAGCCAATGGACAGCGGGTCATTTCCAACTTCAAGAAACTCTGTACACAAAAGCTATGTTTGAAAGGTGCTTTGTGAGTGACCTCAGAACTCAATTGACTCGAAGGTTTTGGAGAGAGATCACTATTAGCATCCTCAATTGTGTAAACATTATAGGTAAGGCTTGGGAGGAAGTGACAAGAGGACATTGACTCTGCTTGGAAGAAAACTGTGGCCAGAATGTGTAGACTCAAAGGGATTTGAAGGGTTTGAGGCATCCCCATTGTGGCATTGCGTGAAGCCCTTGGGGTTGAAGGTTAGTGGGGAGGATGTGGAGAGTTGGTTGGAGGAGCGTCAATGAAGAACTAACCACTGATGAGTGCTAGATCATCTTCAACAGGGCAGAGGCTCAAGACCTGAGGGAAACTGCCTCGGGGAAGAGGAGTAGGCGAAACTGAGAAGTTGCCTACTCAAAAGATTAAGGAAATGTGTGAATGTGGCTAAAGGTGCAAACCTTTTTTGATGAAATCACCCTCCACACAACTATCTGCAAGCCGTTGCTAGCGTGATATTACGACTGACAATGTTGTGAAAACATGGTTAGGAATGTCATAAATGTAACGGGATGGTACAGGCCTCTATCGACAGATATGTAGTGCGGAACTGAGGGTCTAGTGAACTCTCAAGCATGGTCCTAGTTGCATTAAAAGAAGAAAGGGAAAGTAGCCCCGGAAAGGGGGCTTGGCACCTCAAGTCCTAATGGAGAAGGGGATTGTTCCTTCTAACATTAACACCATCCACAAGTCTCCCTCCTCCATCCCATCAATCATCACCAGATTTCAATAAAAGGTAAGTGTCATGTAAACTTGTTGCAGATGTCTTCTTCGTTTGTGTATATTAAAAATTAATATTTCATTTAGTAAAAAATTTTTTTGTTCATTACTTTGGTGTGTGTCAGGCACGGCATTAATTTGATTTCCATTTATTTCTTATGGGGGAAAATTAATTCGCCTAACAATAAATTTCCGCTGTAACCATACCACGGGCAGGTTTGAACCGTGTCAGAGAGTATCAAAACTCCAAAAATCTCGCCTGTGTGGAAATGATTGTTTACAATCGTGTCATTACGATTTCTATCGTAGTCATTTCGCCTAAGTTTAGCTCTCAGGAACAGATTATTAGCGTTAGGGAGGGCCCTACTGTACTAGT